TCTTTTCCAATTCTCCCATTTTACGGACTCAGAAGTGACCCATTTATACAGCTAATTAGTGGCATTAACAAGGGCTGGAACCCAGTTATCCTAAGATCCAGTTCTGTGCTTTCTACACACTTTATATTTGTTTAGTTTTATTTTAAAAGCAGCACAATGAAGTGTATGGAGAGGAATAGCCTGAATTACTCCTGTCGCTGTGTTTGAAAGGACTGACTTCAGCCCAGCAGACGCGCCCCTGCTCAGTCAAGAGCTGGTGGGGAAAAGACCCACCCCGAGAGGTCCCCAAACCAGCATGGTGCACCAGCTCACCCTGGAGGCACATGGTAGGGCCCACATGGGGAAGGACACACACTTGGAGAACTGGGGGGCAGAGAGGAGTTGCTGAGAGCAGAGCTGGATGAGAACCAGCTCTTCACGCCCAGGACTTCTCTGATGGGGCACCCCAGCGTGAGCCTCTTATCTCTGTTTAGCCAGCCTCTCTTATCCAATTCACCACAAAGGGGGAAGCCAAGCTGCAAAAAGAGAGACAGGAAAATAAATCTCCCGGACACTGATTAAAATCCCCGCCCTCTCGCCTCAGTTTACCCATCTGTATAAGGGGTTGTATCAGCCAGAAGAGCCATTCCAGCTCCAAGTCTTTTGTTCTACTCTTGCTGTGAGGACTGAACACACAAACAAGTAAAAATCATGCTCACAAAATAAGAAGTGCAGGGATTGCTGTTGAAGCTAGTTCACCATTTGCAAATGTGAAACAGACCCGCGTAATTTCCCGAGGCCTGTTCAGTTGGTTCCTGCTTCCAGGCGCGGGGAAGAGGCTGGGGAAAGAGGCCTTAACTAGGCTTTTTGGGAGACGCTTCCTACGTAGCACAAACAGCCCCCACCGCCAACTGAGTCAGAATTTCCGAACAGCGCGATTTTACTGCCTTCTTGTGGTTCCCTCTCTGGGCTGCTTCTGAAAGGGAGGCCTGGGGCGGGGTTTCCTGTGCTCAGTTCCAGAGATGATAGGGAGGCTCTCCCCACCCCCCACTCCCCGCCCCACTCTCCACATCAGCCTTTGCCGGAATTTTCTATCCAGATAGGTTTCCATTTCCACTCCTTTCCTTAGCAGCGGATCATGCTGAAGATGAGCTGAAGTTTTTAAAGTCTCCCTAGTTGTAAACTCCCCCATCTCTCACAGTGCTTGTTAGCTGTTGTCAAATGCCATCATGTCGGTTCCGACTCATAGCGACCCTACGTACAACAGAACGAACCACTGCCCGGTCCTGCGCCATCCTCACCCATCGTTGTTACGCTTGAGCCCATTGTTGCAGCCACTGTGTCAATCCATCTCCTTGAGGGTCTTCCTCTCTTTCGATGACCCTCTACTTTTACCAAGCATGATGTCCTTCCCCAGGGACTGGTCCCTCCTGATAACATGTCCAAAGTACGTGAGATGAAATCTCGCCCCCCTCGCTTCCAAGTTACATTCTGGCTGTACTTGTTCCAAGATGGATTTGTTCGTTCTTCTGGCAGTCGTGGTATATTCAGAATTCTTTGCCAACACCATGATTCAAAGGCATCAATTCTTCTTCGGCCTTCCTTTCACACGCATGAGACGTGATTGAAAACACCATGGCTTGAGTCAGGCACACCTTAGTCCTCAAAGTGACATCTTTGCTTTTGAACACTTCAAAGAGGTCTTTTGCAGCTGATTTGCCCAATGCAATGCATTGTTTGATTTCTTGCTGCTGCTCCCATGGGTGTTGACTGTGGATCTGAGTAAAATGAAATTCCTGACAACTTCGATATTTTCTGTTTTTCATGGTGTTGCGTATTGGTCCTGTTGTGAGGATTTTTGTTTTCTTTATGTTGAGGTGTAATTCACACTGAAGGCTGTAGCGCCTACTCAGCTATTTTTCCTTTCAGATAGACAGCTTTGGAGTGGCAGAGACTTCCACCCAATTAACAAGAAGCAAGGTCCTGTCTTTGATGAGGCAGTGTTTATGTCGGGCTTAGGAAAAGCAGCGGAGAAGTGTTCTGGAAAGCTAAAGCTAGTAATAATAATAAAATGAACATCTGCATGTTCTTGTTGTTGGGTGCCATGGAGTTGATTCCAATTCATAACAACCCCATGTGACAGAGTAGAACTGCCCCCATAGGGGCTTCTAGGCTGTAATCTTTATGGAAGCACATGGCCAGGTGTGTCTCCTGTGGAGTGGCTGGGTGAGTTCGAAGCACCAACCTTTGGTTAGCAGCTGAGCACTTAACTGTTTGCGCCATCAGGGCTCCTTAACATCTGCATAGTATTTTGTAATTTATAAAATATTTAATCACACATATTCTCATCTGTGAAACATTAGTGCTATTCCCATTTAACAGATGAGAAAACCGCGGTTCCAAGAGGTTATGTGGCTTGCTAAGGTTCACTCAGCTAATTAAGCAGCTGAGCTGGAGCTGGACTTGGGGTCCCTCTCAGCTCCAAAACCGGTGCCCTTGGCTGCATCAGCAGTGGGAGGGACAGTTCATGTCCAGGCCATGTCCCCTCAGACACAGAATCACTGCACTTATTTACAGCTGCCTCCCTCTTCCCCACGCTGAGCTCCTGGGGAGCAGTTGTCTATTCCTCCTTCTCCAGAGCCCCAGAGAACAGCACATAGTAAGTGCTCAGGAAATGTTTGATGGACGACTGAAGAGCTGTAAGCCAGAAGCTGCAGTGATCATACTCTGCCCAGACTTCAGAATAACGGCTAACACGGGTTAGATGCTCACAATATCAGGCACCAAACCGTTCAAGGTAAGTTCCTATTATTAGACCAAGAGGAAGCGGAGGATGAGTAACTTGCCACAATTCGCATGCTCAGGCAGTCTGACACCAGAGCCTGAGCTCATAACTTCCAGTGACACCGAAGCATCTCTCACTAGAGGAAACTGACTCCTCGCAGCGGCTGCTTCACCTTCCTAGCAGAATTTTTTGAGGCCATCTCTGTGCAAATCACCTGTTTGTGCCTTGATTTCCCCTCTGTGAGACGAAACTCATTAAACGTTTCCTGACTACCTGGTGGATCTTCGCAGAGATAATGAGGAGATGCATGTGAGAGTATTCTGAAGAGCAGAGAGCACTACTGTAATATTATATTATTATAATAGTACTATAATAACTGTCAATCACCATGCACGCCTTTAGCATGACAGTTGTAACACCAAGCCTGCGACTGTACCTGTGATGGAGTCAGGATGGTAACAGAAACATAATAGGACGCCTGGAACCAACAAGGTTAAGGATGGGAGAGGCTCTTTCTGTGTACCTCCTATGACGCTGTGAATAATTACACATGGAGAAATGGGTTCTAATGAAGAGGGTGTGGCTAACACTCCAGCATTCTAATTCAAGCTAGATCTGTTGTTGTTGCTAGCTGCCATTGAGTAGATTCCAACTCATGGGACCCCATAGGGCTTTCCAGGCTGTGATCTTTCAGAAGCAGATGGCCAGGCCTGTCTTCCAACCACCAATCTTTCGGCTATTAGCTGAACACTTAACCATTTTCGCCACCCAGGGATTCCCAAGCTAGATCTGTATCTATCCCCCATGTTAATCCAATGCTCTGGCTAAAGCTTTTACTTCTCCATCAATTCACAACACACACACACACACACACACACACACCCCATTACTAACTGGTCCTGTTAATACAATTTAATCTTTCTTTTAGGACAACACTGATTTATTCAACAAATGTTGACTGAGGGTCTGCCAGCCCACCAAGAATGAAAAGAGTAAAACAGGCTGCAGGAAGCAGGAGATTGGGGCAGTTCCTTAACTCCTCTGAGCCTCCTTTTCCTCGTCTGCAAAACGGGGCTGGCCACCCCTAAGGTGGAAGATGGAGTTGGAAAGTAAAGTACCCTTCTCAGGGCGCATAGTTCTACCAGTTGTGTCCCTCCTTAGTGGCTCTCCTGGGACCCAGAGGGGGCGGGACCAGTCATGCAAATGTGTAATTACTGGGGAAAAGATAAGGGCTGGTGCCAAGGGCGTTCAGAAAAAGATAAGGGCTAGAGTGGAGGGCGTTCAAAGGGCGGGCATCAGCTAGATCCGAGAGACAGACGCCAGGAACAGCCCTTCCTGTGCCCGGAGGTGGTGGGCGGGGGAAGGGGACAGGGGTTGGAAGGCTTGGAGCTTTCAAGCAGCAGGAGGAGTTTGGCAGGGGCAAACTCCAGGCCAAAGAACCTCAAGTGCAAAGGCACAGAGGCAGATAAGACCCAGAAGTTCTGCTGCAAGGTTACATAGTTGGGGACATCTCCGGATCAGAAGGGTGGGAGGATGTATGTGGTTGAGGGGGGCCATTCTTGGCCCTTGGATTTGTGGGAAATTCACATTCTGGGTGGAATTCACATCCTTCGTGCCTCACATACCATCATCTCCCTTGGCAGCCTGGGGATCTCCCACCCGAGCCTGGGGCCAGGAGATCCCGTACATGGTGGAGACTGTGGTGTGGTAGGGTCCGGATAGGGCGCCCCCACAGGCAGCCTGGCTAATGCGTGTCACTTCCTTCTTGGATTTCGCGCCTCCGGGCAGGGTGCCCCGGTATATGCCCCCACCTCGGCTCTATGAGGGCCACACGTGCCCGCTCCCAACCCCCTCCCCAAGTCTGGGCGCGCAGAGGGACTCCCTTCTCAGGTCCACCCTTCCCCAGGGAGAGCAGCCCCGCGCCAGCTCCCAGGATGAGGTCTGGGCGGAGGCGGGCGGCTGCTCAGGCCGGAGGGAACAGCGCGGGGGCAAGGTGGGCCTGCCGGGGCCGCGACGGGGAGCGGGGAAAAGCGTCCTTGGTCCCTTGCGCCCGGCTGCCAGCGGAGCTGGGGATAGCACGGGAGCCCGCGCCGAGCGCGCGCGGGGCCGGGCGCGCCCCTCTCCCGCCTGGCCGGGGTGGCGGGCTCCCGAGCTGCCCGCCAGGGCCGGGGTAGTGGCCCGCGGGTGGGGCGGCGCGGTGTCAGGCCCGCCCCGGCCCCGCCCCGGAGCCGCCCGGGACGCAGCGGAGGGACGAGGGAGGCTAGGCCAAGCTGCCAGCGGCGCCTGCTCTCCACGCTCCGGGCCGGGTAAGTGCGCCGGGCGCGGTGCTGGGCCAGGACCAGAGGGTCGACTTCAGCCCCCGGCCAGGCCTAAGGTGTCCTCAGGGATCAGGGTCGACGAGCGCCTACGGGACCCGGGAGGCGCGCCCGGCGCGTGGGCGGGGGGCTCGGCGTGACAGCTGCGGGCAGGCGCGTATTTTTAGTTTAAATACAACCGTTCCCCGCCGGCTGCAGAATCCGCAAGCCTTTCCTCTCCAAGCCCTGGAGGTTCGTCCTCCAGGTAAAGCCCCGAGCTCGAGGAAGCGCGTCCCAGGCTGCTGGGCGCCTCCTGCAGTCTTTGCTCTGCCTTGCCTTGGGGGCGAGGTACCTGTCACCCAGGCTGGCGAGCACCGGGTGTCCCCGGGCCTCAGCAGGTCACGGGGCGGAACCCCCTCCCGGCAACCACGAGATCTGTAGTGTCTGAGAGCTGAGAGCCTGTCGGGAGGGGAAGTCCCACTGGCCGGCTCAGTGTAGTTTAGACACCTCCTGTCGCTGCAGCCTTGGGCAAGTCACGCACCTTCTCTGGGCCTGCCCCATGTCCCTAAGGGAGGGGGTAGTGCGAGAGCTCTGCAGGGCCCAGGGAGCCTCAGGCGGTTGCTGACTCCCCTTGAAGTATTCAGATCTTGACCCCAAACAACAGACAGAGTGGAGGTGCCACACTGCCGTGGCGCAGTGGCCCACACAGCCCAACTGTCCCCTGCTTCAAAACTCTAAGCCGGGAGTCCAGCCTGGGATGGGGTGATAATGACTATTAACATTTTGTCATCTTGCCCTGAAGCTTTGCCCAGGGCTTCCCTGGGGCCTCTCTCCAGGCTTCTGATCACCTCTCTCAGCCCTGAAGGGTTAACCACCTGGTGGCATGAGCAGGGGAACCCTGGCATGGGGGGGGGGAATGGCCCACCCCCGGGAGTGAGGGCAGGAAGGCACAGTGGGGAAAAGTGACTGTCCCTCCAGAAAAAGAAGCATGTCACAAAATCGCTGCCCTTCTGAGCTGGGCAGGACAGCCTCCTTCAACCACCAAAAGAAGAGGAAACAGGCCCAGAGAGGGGAGTGGTTTGCCCAGAGCTGCACAGCAAGCAGTGAGCTGCACAGCCGGGAACAGACCCGGGTCTCTGGAAGGACCCAGCCCATCTCCTGCACAGCTGGGGCAGCCAGCACCCACAGGGGTGGGGCAGGGAGGGGCAGCGGTGTCCACGTGCAGTTGGGCTGTTTCCTGTAACTGTCCCCAGCAGAGCTTCCTGACACGTGTGGTCTGCACATTCCTCGGGTGGAACAACACTGGGCCAGCCGCCCTGCAGCTGTGCCAAGCCTGCTGGCCTGGGGCGTCGGTTTTCAGTGGAGAGGCCCCTTTGGGGGCAGCTGGAGGGGCACATGGGCGGGAAGTCTTGTTTCTGGAACTCGCATCTTGCCAAGGGTCCTGAGGAGAAAGAAGCCGGGGGATTTGCTGGTGGCACAGAGGGCAGTGGTGAGAATCCAGGCTCAGGTCTCTGCCCTGGTGCAGCCTGGCCCCTGGCCCCTGTGGGCACCCTTCAGGGTGAGTGTGGGCTGCTTCCGCCTCGATAGAAACCAGCCTCCAGCTGGTGCTTTGCATGTTCTCTGGCAGCTGCGGGCTGTCCCTGCCTGGGCGGCCCCTCCGGCCTCCTGACCCGGAGCCTGGAGCCTGGGGCAAGGGCCGCTGGGGGATCCTGGGTTGTCTGCCGGGGCAGCCTCCCTTCTAGATGGGTGCAGCACAGCCTCCAAGCTCCCTGGAGTCTCCGGGAGCTCAGGGTGGCAGCACGGCATCCAAGTGGCCCAACTCTTATGAACGAGGGTAACTGAGGCAGACTCCAGGATTCCAGCTTTGCGGTGGCCCTTTCCAAGCTGTGTGACCTTGGGAAAGTCGCTTCACCTTCCAGAGCGTCAGTATCTTTCCCCGTGAAAGGGGACAGCAATAGTACCGTATCGTGTGGGTACCGTGAGCACTAAAAGAGCTGTTTCCACATAAAGTGCCTCACGTGGCACCAGACACAGCATGCGCCGGCTGCCGTCACTGTTTGGGGTGGAGGGGTCTGGATCAGACGCCTGGGTGCCCCCTCGGCTCTGCTCCTTGCATCTCTGCCTTGATTTCCCCATGTTTGTCAAATGGTGGGTGGTCCTGTATCATCTCCCTCAGGGCCCTTCCAGCCCGGAAGGCTGGTCCGCAACCCCAGGGAGAGAGCTGTGAGGGGGGCTGCAAGGGGACTCGCTGTGTCTGTGGAGTCTTACAAAGCACCTCCTGTCTCTCACCTCCTGTGAACCTCACAGTAGGCAGTGCAGCCCTCACGAGCTCCATTTACAGATGAGGAAACCAAGATTTAGAGGCCAGAAATGAGGGAGTCAGGATTTGAACTCCGGGCTTTTGACTGGATGCTCTTCGTTACACACAGTACATGGGTATGTTATACATTAGTTATTGGGAAACGGGCACTGCGGGATCCTGGTCATCATTAAAAGTTGTTAGAACTTGCTGCAAAAAAATAGGTTCTGAACCTTTTTTTTTTCCCCTGTCACCAATAAAAGTAGCCCAACTGGGCCATCAAGAGAGGAATCTGGAAGGAGCAGAGGGAAGTATTTCCTGACCCTCCCCACCATGCTCAACCCTCCTCCCACTCACGAGAGATCTTTGCTTCAGGACTCAGTAAAGATGCCCCCTCAGGAGTATGTTCCTGGGGGTAAGCAGGGAGGAAGCCCTGGGGGACAAGTCCTGGAAGCTGCAGCCTCCATTGTGTTCTCTCTCTAAGAGATGAGGACACCTCCCTTGTGGGCTGCTGTGAGGATGAACGAGATAACTGGGGACAGCCCTGAGCAGAATGCCAGCATGGGGGGTGGGCACTTCAGAAATAGGAGTTATTGTTATTTTCATTGTTACAGGCAGTCCCCAGGTTACGAACAAGTTCCGTCTCTAAGTCTGTCTTTAAGTCGAATTTGTACATAAGTCGGAATAGTTAGGTACGGTTCATATCTCACATCAGTTAGTCAGATGTTTGTCTCAGTATATAGTGTTACCTTTCTATACATAAAATCATTAAAGCAACATTTCCGGATACACTGAAACGTCTTTAACATAATACAGTAATAATAATAATGATGTTCGGATGTGCGTCACAAAGTAGCGCCCATTTGTTGTTATGAACCATGTATGCACCTCGAATTTTTAATATAATAGGCTTTATATAGAAAACCCATTGCCATCAAGTTGATTCCAACTCCTAGAGACCCTCTAGGACAGAGTAGAACTGCCTCATAGGGTTTCCAAGGAGCAGCTGGTGGATTCGAACTGCTGACTTTTTGGTTAGTAGCTGTAGCTCTTAACCACTTCACCACGAGGGTTCTTTCTCAGTCTCTCTCTCTCTCTATATATCCTATTTGTAAATGATGTATATATATATATATATATGTACATGCAGTTAAGCACTCAGCTATTAGCTGAAAGGTCAGCAGTTCAGACCTACCCAGAGACACCACAGAAGACAGGCCTGATGATCTGATTCTGAAAGGTCACAGCCTTGGAAACCCTACGGAGCAGTTCTACTCTGCACGCATGGGGTTGCCATGAGTCAGAATAGGCTTGATGACAACTAACTACAGCGACTATATATATATATATATGTATATGCACCATATAACATCCGTTCAGGCAACGTCCAACTACATATACGTCCATGGTCCCATAAAGTTATAATAGAGTTCAGAAATCCCAGTCAGAGAACAGGACGTAGCAGATGTACCCTGCCATAGCAAATGCAGCAGCTTCCGGAGGGCAACATGTATATCTCATGTCTCTTGCACACAAAGCGATTTTGCTGCCAGGCGTATAATGGTACATTAAATTGTAGAGGCAGGTCATTTGCCCCAGCAGATAATATGGCGTTTGCACAATGTTAAAATCACATAGCGTCCTGTTTCACAGAACGTATCACGGACGTTAAGTGACGCGTGACAGTATACACGCACACACGCACATATACCATTGTATGTATCAAATCTTCCAATAATACAAATAAGCATTGAAAAGAGAATAGGGAACATTTTCAGAACACTCTCTTAGAAAATCAGACCAGATACTTCCCTCGGATTCAGATGTTAGTCTAGCTGGATTTAAAAAATAAAATCCAAATCCCATCGTATGACTCACGACTTCTCCTTATACTGGAGAAATCATCTCCCACTTCCGAAATCATACAATAAGATGTTAATGCTCTGTGATCTCATATTATCAATGAGAAGCAGAGCTTCAGGAGTTTTTAAAGCCCTCCTTAATGATTTATGCTTCTGAATCATAAAACCCTAAAATGCTTGAGCTGGGAGGAACCGAAGGTCACCTGGAGCAATTTGCCAGTTTTATAGCCTAGGGACGCCCCCTGGCCAAGGTCAACTTTGGGCATGTACACGGGGAAGACAGTTTGCCCTGGCTGCCACACCAGTGTCCCTGCCAGGCACGGCCCCCGCCTCAGGACAGTCAGTGAGACTGGTGCTGTTCCCGAGATTAAACTTTTGAAAAGTCAGAAAAGAGGGACAACATTTGATGATCACACACTTCAGCCCTTGTGTAAACAGAAACGTCATCAAAGGAAAGATATAAACAATGCGTAGAATCTCCTTTCGCGCTAGACATCCCCTAGAGAGCTGGCTTCCTCCTGCTGCTCTTTCAGGACACGCCTGGTGAAAAACCAAAGCTGCTCGCCGATGAGTCCACTCAGACTCGTGGTGACCCAACAGTGGCCGTGATCTTTACAGAAGCAGATGGCCAGACCTTTCTTCCGCAGTGCGGCTGGGTGGGTTCAGATCACCAATCTTTAGGTTAGTAGCTGAGCACGAGCCGTTTGCACCACGTATTTAAGCCTTGCGCTATGGGAAGGTCTCCCCACCCCCATGAGATGGAAGATGGAGGTGCACAGGGCTGAGACTGGCCCCAGGACACCGGCAGGGCTGGGATCTGGGCCCAGGTCTCCACTGCCCAGGCGAGCACC